TGTGTGTGTGTGTGTGTGTGTGTGTGTGTGTGTGTGTGTGTAACTTCATCGTCACTTTAACAATAAAAAGAGGTTAAATAAATTTAATTTCTATAAAAATTATATTTGGTATTGACAGAAAGTTGAAACATCTTTGATTGAGAATTCTATCAATTGAAAATAAAGAATCACCTTCTTTTGAGTTCGAAGGTGAGTATGAGGCTTCCGATTTATGAATACATCGAACGATCACTTTCCACGTGGATGATGTCTTATCTTCTGACATATTAGGTTTGTTTTTTTATTGCTGCACTCTCTGAACTGATGCATACGGCAAATAAGTTGAAGTGAGACAAACGTATATTTGTTTCACTTCAACTTATTGCACCGTGTGCACCAGTTCAGAGAGTGCAGCAATAAAAAAACAGACCTATTCGCAACATTTGAACTATTTACTGTCAACTATAGACTGAAGATCGCGAGTATATCATTTGTTTTGTCTATTTCATGAGATTAATATCGATTAGATTTTGATATCTAATACAAAACTTTTTTAAATAATCAATAGGTCTATTCTTTATTGGTGAACTCTTTGAATTCGTGCAAACTGGCGCAATAAATTGAAAAGAAATAATTTGTTTCACATACTACAACTTAGATATTGCACCATGTGCATTAGTTTAGGAAGTTGTTCGATAAAGAACAGACTTTATAATAGAATTCACTTATAATTGTGTATGTTTATTATTATTAATTGTAGATATAATAAGTCATGGAAAGAATTTATATATCATTCATTCATTACGGCGAGATGTGACAAGCGATTCGATAGCAACTCATTTCGAAATGTGGGTTACACATCGTACGCGAGAGACACATGATTACCACCGACGACAGATATGAAAATCTTGTCGCCGGTTTATCATCATGAGAATTGAACAGTGAAGCAAGTTTGAAAGAAATCTTGTCGCGTTTCTACGAAGTGTCGCTGCATTGGCAAGATACTGAGTGTGTCTCACCGGCTAAATTAAATCATGATGTGTAGAAGATATTCTAGAAGAATATGTTTAGAAAAATCAAATAGATATAAATAACAATGTAAAGATCAAATAATATAAAAAAAAAACATATATAATATAATATAATAAAATAATTTCAGATAAATCATATAAACGTTTATATTTATTTTATTTTATTTATTCATTTTTTATTATATATTTAAATGAACTCCATCTCACGTTATCCTTTCATTTTATAATATATTTTTGTACTTTTTACCAAGATACACCTTGTTATATTTTTCAAGTATAAACCGAGAAATATAGTAATAAAAAATTATTTTAATTAATAATATTTTGCACGTTTCTACTAAAAATGTTACTACTAAAAATTTCGAGAAAATCAGATAGAACCTCAGAATAATTACCAAGGTTCTTGAAAGGGACTAAAAAAAAATCGAGTAAACATCGCGCTTATCCATCGTGTGAAGGAAATGGGTCAAGCGACAGTCGAGGCTAGAAAATCCAGCCGACTAGTTAGCTAGCTAGCTAAATCCAGCTTGCGACAAAAAGCGCAACGAAGCGGTGCTGCAGCTGCATCGCGTACGCTGCGGACCCTTTTATCGCGTTACGCGCGCATCGGAGGAGACTTCGACCTTTCCCGTAGTGTGCAGCCCCTACCTGTGAAGCAAGAAAGCTTCAGAAAATATCTAACATACATATCGGTCCTTATGGTGGCATTTCGCGCGGCTTAAGGGGGCGTCCCTCGTTATACCGAAGGTTTCTTTGTTGTCAGAGGCAATCGTGCTCGGTTTAACGAAATAGGCCGCATAGATAATAAAAAAAGGGATTAATCGAGGGATTAATCAAGCCAGAGAAAAGCGGCACAATAGAGTTCAGAGCAATGTTTTATGATTAGACCTGCTGAATGCGATTTGTGTGACATATTCTAAGATTTTTACAATGTTCTATTATCAGTACAACTATGATTAGTTATAAGATACTGTTATACAATCATAATTATAATATTATAAAATGATTTCAATTTTTGTATAATTTAATTTACAATACATAGGAATCAAATATATATAGAAAAAAGAATATTAAAGAAAGTATTTAAAAACTCATCAGTGTGTTGTGAGTACTTGTTAATTTTAATACAATAGGTAATCATTTTTATTGCCTACACGGAATATATCAGATTTATTATCACACTTCATTACATTACTTTGTATGACTACAAAACATATTTATTTGTCATTTACATAAATTTTACAATTAATATTCAGTTTGTTACCGTAACGGAAAGAACCTCCCTCGACGCTTCGCGTGAAGCAATATCGAGGATAACAGATACCCATCGACTTTCCCTTAAACCCTTTCGTCTCTCTCTTTTTCCTGCTTTCTCGATCTGATCTCACTCTCGAATAGACAGAAAAACTACATCACACACGGTAGGTGCGACCAAGAGTAAATACGGCACCGCCAAGAGGCGGTGTAAATGTCAGAGGATCACGCGCTCTCGATACACAAAGCGGTATACTTGACGACATTTATTAAACGCGTCATCGTGGAAATCGGTCCATCGCTCGAAGAAATCAGATTAGCGAGAAATCGTCCTGGAAATTGAATGACACTCCGAAACGCGTCGATGAGCAGTGGACTTTTTCTCGGAAGAATAAGATGAAGGCGATATCGGTTTCTTTTGATGACAATGTACAAGAAAATTTCACAGAACTATTGAGAAAAAAATTGAAGCACTTATAAGTAATAATATATTAACAAAGAGCTTCTAACACACATATATAAATAAGTTCTTTTATTTAGAACCAGAATCTTTAGATATAGAATTTTAATTAAATTTTTTTCAATTATTCTGTGTATATGTGTATGTGTACGCACGCATGTAATTAACTGTTCAATAAATTTCACTTTAATTAATAAATTTAATTGAACTGTGTGATAATTATACAAGATTAAAAAAAGCTGCTCGGCACTTAAATAGCAAGTAGTAAATACCTCGTAGTAAATAATCAGTAATCAACATAAATCGAAAAATGAATTATATAATATAAAAAATAAAATATATTTTAGTTATAATAATATGGATTTATTTATATTTTTGCAATAAAATTAAACATCTTTTGTAGAAATCAATCTTTCTCATTTTACATAAAAATATCGTGAAAAATAAAACGAGAGATTTTATATTTTATAAAATATTTTAAATACGAA